TTTCTAATAGCTTCTTGTTACTACTAGTAAGGCACTTGTTTCTAATACCTTCTTGTTACTACTAGTAAGGAACTTGTTTCTAATAGCTTCTTGTTTCTACTAGTAAGGCACTTGTTACTACTAGCGATGCACCTGTTACTAGCAGCTTCAAAAATACATCAGCAATTCAATAAAAGTGAAAGCTGGCACTGTCTTGAACCCAAATTGCACAGCTGGTTGGACATGCCTTCGCTCGAAGCTGCGATCGGCGCAATATCTATATAGCTGGGAATTTGCTCAAGAGAGCATAGCAGTGGCTCGTGGAGCACAAAATGTTGCTGCTATCTTCGCTTGTTGTTTGCTTCTCATGCATCTGCTTGCATCAATGTGAAGCCTCCAACAAATGCAACAAGGTCCGCATCCTCTGTTTCTGCTTGAGGGGTAGCAGACACCAATATATATTTTTTTTAAAACTGTATATATATACATACTGTATATATATATAAATGCGGAAATACATATATATATATATACATGCTATTATATGCTTTTGGGGGGCATCATCATGATCGCCCCCAAAATTCTTGAGACTGCAAATGATTCTACCACGCTGCCAGGCTTTCCAGCTTGTTCCGCCAGGAGTTACTCCACTAAGTTTCCCAGTTTGTTGACCAGAGGTCATCCATCCTGTGGCAGCCTCTGAGGGCAGACAACGATCAGGAAACACGAGAGGTGGTTTTGAGTACGTTAAACCACGCACCTTTTGAGTAAGAGCTGTCACACCCAGAGAGACAACAGGTAACAACAGTGAAACCCTGTCAAGACTGGATGTTGGACACACTTTGAACGTGTCGTAGATTTATTTGGACAAGTGACAGTGATTCCCTCTAACCAACATGCTTTGTGCCGTGGATTTATGTTAACCAAATCCTTAGAGTTTGATGTCTTAGTTTGCGCTCTGGGGCCGAGCTTGCCAGGAGCAGTCGCCAGAAGAGTGTTCATGCTGTGTGCTTGGAGGATGAAGGAGACCCATCGTTGTTTTGGTTTTCAACGTGCTCCGTTTGTGGACTCACACAAGTCACAGTCAGATTTGTTTTTTTTACATAACTTTACTGTGCATTGTTGCGCGCTTCAAGCCTTAAAACCATACCCGATGTTTTGATATGTTCCTCGTTATATAGTGTCACGATATGATGCAACCAAATGATAGTGCAATTTGATACAATTTGAGGGTCCTGTCGATTCAAACGTTTCTGTGAGTTCATTCTTCTCTACATTTCCAACGCAATTCAGTGGGAACTACTGCTACATAATGGACGAAATCCTGCACCGCCAAGAGTCGGCGCAAAACAAAACGCATATCACATGTTTTTTGGGGAGTGAAGACCTGACATCAGATGATGCCAAGGAACCCCAGATGATATCAATTAGTTTAGCTCTGAGACCGGGTGCTGAGAATCCTTGGTAGCAAGAAACATCCGGCCCTAATTTTAACATTTGTGATACATCAACAGTTGTGGGATGACTTCATCAGTGGAAGCTTTCGAGAAACCTCACTTGTTGAAGCTGGCCCAGGGATTCCAGTCCAATCCTTTCAAGACTTGCATGGCAGTGCTTCGCATAGCAGTGCTTGGCACTGAAAATGACCGATCTTCACTCTTGGATTCCCTCCACGAGTTTGGGGGAAATGGATGGACTGAATGCGAAATTCAGGCCGCCCTTTGGCATGTCCACATGGTTTAATTTGGCTAAAGTATGTGGAACCTCTTGAGATCCCATCAGTTGCATTGATTTTTGTTGCACCAACCTCTCAGAAAACTGGCCCTGTGATGCCCTGTGGGCATTCGTCCAATCGTGTTCACGCCGAAGATGGAGCACTTTCAGAAGCTGGGTTCGTCCCAAGGTCTTCCGGAAGGCTTTGGGTTTGGCTGATGGAACCTACACCTTGAGAGACTTTCAAGGGCATGAAGATGATGAGTTCTTCAGCCAACTGGCCAAGTGCAGCTTCGATGGAAGTGGCAATGCTTTAATATGGTCTCGGGACAAATGCTTGGAGTGCAGAGCGTGGAGTTCTGTTTCCACAGAGCTTTCATGGTGCTGTTAACCATGAGATGTTGTTTGAAACATGTATGAACTGGCTCATATGCCCTTGTTTGGCCCAGTGACCTGCAATACACCTTGCAAGATCGCCTCATTTGACTAGGCACCAATCTGCAGTGCTCAAACAAAGCAGCACAGACGGTTGGCGTGGAAAAGATCCGCGGCCGAAGAGGCCAGCGCCCTGTCATTTGCTTCCGTTGAGTCGGAACTATGGCGGTCAGCGCCCTGAATTGCAAGCCTCTTCTGGAAGGCAACTATACCTAGGTGCAAAGGGAATATCATTGCTGGGAACTCATGGGTAATTGAGTACCGATTTTTTGCTGGTCATCATATATGGTCATATTCAGTCAGTTTTGTAGAATATGGCCCATGTCAATGCCCAATAGGGAAGAGCACTATTTAATCTGGCAACCATTCAATGTCCACAGCAGCTAGTCCCCTAAATCCACTTGTTGCCTTCCTTTTTCCCACGTGAGCCAATTGGCAGGTCTCTGCAGGGACCCCGATTTCAAGCCGCACACGCTTGGTTCAACCAGGCCTTCGCAGGCTTCAATCTATACAGCATCGGAGAGTGCTGCAGACTCATGGTCAAAAGACCGGCGCGACTCGCCGTGCTGAGTTTGCGAATGTTTGCCACCAGAGTTTTCGACCCGTGCATGAAACTGGGATCGTGCTCAATCATTATGGGCCATGTTGGAGCTGGGCCTCAGGAGTTATAGTTGTTGGAGGTGACCCAAGTTGAACGCCATGTCTCATGCTGAGAATTGTCGAGTTTGACAATCCTCTCATGGGAAATTTAAGGGTTCGCATGGGGGCAGGGTTTAATCCACGCCCTATGCGGATTGCAGTAGAATGCAGAGGTTGCACGCAGGTTTGAATGCAAATACCACCCCCGGCATTGCTGGTTGAAGTGCTAAGGCAACTGTCTTAAAGTCATTTGTTGGCAAGCTTCCCGTGCACCCGCACTCAAGACCAAAGCGTATCAAACCCGACCCATTTGGCCCCTGTGTAGTTGTGGATTGATTTTTCTTTCTGCTTGTGGCTAGGCTGCTAGGTGTTGAGGGCCTTCGTTTAAATCATGAAGATGTTTGAATTGATTTGAATTTGCTGTGAAGTGTCAACAGCTGTCAAGAGACTCAGACACTCTGTGCGATGCTTGCGTAAAAGCACTCGACAGGGACCTCTGGAGTTTCCTCCAGCACCACGGAAGTCAAGACTGTCCTCAGTTATGGTACCATTACCGCTGTTGTACGTCAAAGACCGTGAAAGCATTGACGGACTAACCACTGTGGGACTGACGAATTTGTTGTGACATGTTGTTACTTGGCACTATTCAACTTTTACATACAGAAATTTTACCATGAACTTGGTATCTAGATACAAGAAGCATGAGCCATACGCCGAGCACAACGTGAGCATATGGGATGCCCATGAGCAGGGATGCCCCAGCTTCGTGCTGACCTGAGATAAGCTCTTGGCGACAGCCAATACAACCGTGAGGAGAATGTTCATGTGACTCGTGTGTCATTTGTTATCTCCAATGTGAGAACTCCAGCCTGAATGGAAGTGTGCCCTCAAGATTCTTTTTCGAGGACTATGTCATGACTGTATCTACCCACTTTTCAAGCAGATTGGCCAGGCTCGGAGGATGAGGCTTGGCGCTTGCGCCAGCTCTGCTCCCGAAAAGGGACCCCCGCAGAGGAGGTGGTCGCCTTCATTTCAGGGATCCCGGAGGAACGCAGGGCCAACGCGGTACAGCAAGGCGGCTGAGCTGGGGACTGGGAGTTGGTGGAGCTGGACGAAGCTTTGGAGAGAGCTTTCAGGCTATAGCTCCACTCAAAAAACAGTTGTTGATTACAATGTGCATCCTTTGCAAGCGATCTGCTCAACAGAGCTTCATTCCCTATTTGAGGACTCTTGGAACCAATGTGGAACGAACTTTCGACTTAAGAATTTCAGAAGAGCCCGTCGATGACCAAGAAACGAATCATTATCGGGGAATTGTATAAAACATTTGGTGGTGGTAGTGCTGGTGGTGGTGTTTTTGTTCTTTGTTTTGTGAAGTTAGTGAACCATAGTCTACAGTGACCCATTCAAAAGGCGACCCTCCAAGATGAAGACTGAGACGCATGAGGAATTAAATTCCGCCAGCCGTCTTCTACTCCCCCAAGACTGTCATTTAACTTGAACGCCTCAGACTCAGAGGATGGCGTTTTTTCTACAAAGCAGCAAGCAGCAAGTTCAGGTACCTCTAGATACTAGTACCTTGATGGTATCCCATGTACCTCTTGAAGACTCTTTGAGGTGTAAGTACTCTTTGAGGATTTTTGAGAATGTTTTGATTGACCCCAGCGTAGTTGTCAGGTTCCACACTGATACTGATACTTGACTGGGAAAAATGCTTTCTTGAACGCTGAACGCCCGGCTTTCTTCTCCTTACTTGTGAGGCAACAGCAATGGCAAGACGCCCCTGCACTACGCAGCCCAACTCCGGCCCAACGATGGCGCGCAGCGCGGCAGGTAGCTGTGGGATCGGATGCAGACTAGATGGTGGAAGTCTATGCATTGGCTTATGTAGCCCTTGAGGCTTTTTGTACATGTGAATGTATACATTACATGTGTATATAAAATAGATCAACACAAAAAAAGAACTATTGATACAACTATACAGTACACGTATGGGCACACACACACATTTTTGTGACATACGACAGAGAAGTTTGGCATGTCCTTCAGCACAGTCGCCCGCAGGAAATCTATTTTGAGTTCTTGAATCTACAGCTTGCTGATCGGACAGATAAGATATGACAAGACTATGTCGGATGTCCCATCCGCGTTTCAAGGATGGGTATGAGAATCGCAATGCCAGAAACAGAACCCAATCGCCCACAAAAGTGTTCATTTATTCATGTTTTCTCTCACAACTGTTGTACTTCTGACCACATACACATCTAGAATCTAGACCCCCCTCCAACCTTTTGAAGTGTTTGAAAAGTGGCTGGTACTGCAAAGCAGGTGTCTCTCAGGCTTTAAGTAGGCATTCCACCCCAAGGTACCTTTGCTCGCAATTACTGTCAGCAGCGGCGCAACTGGACGCCACCACACGCCGTGGGCACACCCCGCTGCTCTTTGCGGCGGGCAGAGGGCACCAAGAGGCTGGGCTAGCGCAGAATGAGAGAGTAGGGATGGGACTGGGTTTCATCGTGTGCTTGTGTTGCAGAAAGTGTTAAGTTCATTTCACCATTGGAAGGCTGTGCAACCATTTTGAGATATGGCAGGAGCATTTTCTTCGGTTACACTTGTCCAGTTTCGCAGCCAGGGTTATACTGTCTAGTATTTGCTCTTACTTTTGACCAGGTCAAGTGCTATTGAGTTTGCGAGTTTCATATATATATATATATATATACATAGGTGCATTAAGTCTATAGGCCGGGCGGCTCGTTCATGAATGGCAAATGGGGCCCAGGGCAGATTGATTTGTTTTTGCAGTCTCTTACAAGGACTGTTGACAACCACCTCCTTCACTGTATTTGTCGGATTAATGATGTGGCTGTTGGGTAGCAGCAGACTGTTTGAAGAAGATGAACTGACAACATGGCGAGACAAACAATCCATGGAGGGGCTTTGTAACATTTTGTGACAAGGTTGCCCCAGTAGTTGCAGGCACATGACCTTAAGAGAATGAATCCCCGATGATTGTTTGGTTTGTTATTTGCATATCTCTCTATATATAATATAATCATGCATACTAGTTTCATTTGCACAGTTTGGTACCCTGTAATTTGTTCAGTTTTGGTTGTGTGCATTGTTGCCCGGTGCCACAACCCAAGAGGTGGTCAGATTCTTGCTAAGTGCCCGCGCAAACCCACGGATCATTGCTGCCAGCGGAGAGGCGTTTGGGAGATGAGAGACATCGATGTGGTTATTTAAAGTGTAACCGTTTATCCGTTTATCGACACGATCCTGGAACTTGACCACAGGGTGAACGGGAACAGGCTTGGAGATGGCCGTGTTCAGTTTGTGCCCAGATGTAAGAAGATGTACACAATCAGTCATTGAATGTTGAGCCGACGAATGTTTCCTCCGGACTTCCTTTAATATATAGGTTTGAATCAGCAAACCGAAACGTTGGTGTAAGGTCAGCTTTCACTTCGCATGACCCATGTGTGATTCACTTTTCACACCGCTGAAAGACACCAAAGGTCCCAAAGTACCTTCAGATACTGTAATGAATGCTGACATGACCAACATAGCTTCTTGTTACTAGTAGCGATGGCCTCCAACCTACTTGCGATGGCCTCCACCTAATAGCGTCCTTGTTACTATCACATTCGAAGCGTTATTCATCGTTTGAGTCCCTCCTGTGAACTCACGCCTTTGCTGAAGGGGCCGGCTTTCGGGTGCGAACGACGGCGAGACTGACTCAAGAATGAATGCTACCCTTTGCTCCCCAAAGGTCAGCTCCGCAAAGCAAGAATGTGCCCAGACGGCGAGTTTCAACCGCAGCAAGTGTTTCACGAAAGAAACGAGGTAGAACTTTCAACGAGTTCCACAAGACAAACAACTACATAACTGCTACAGACTAAATGAACCTTAAATGACCCAATCTGAGAGATTACACCAACATACACCAACCATCATGAGAGAAGTTGCTTTTCGATATTTTTTTCGATGACAACATTGCTTGTGCCGGAGAACATTGCTTGATCCTTTGTCACCGGCGAGGCGCCCTGGAACTGCGCCTCTCCACATTTGGACCCCGAGACGCGTCGCCTGCTGACCGCCGCGGAAGCGTCCGACGCGCGGACGCTGATCGACTACCGCCTGAGCGCGGACGCACTGCAGGCGCAGGCGGAGTACGAACGTGCGAGTTACTGGGCCTGTCAATGGGGGACCAGGGTGGAGAGGTCAGAGAGAGGCGGAAAAGAGGGACCCGTTTTGGGAAGCGGAGAGGCCAATAAAGATGGTTGTTTTGAATGTTGTTTATGCGATTCTGACTATGAGTCTTCGGTGTGAGGAGAGTATAGCTTTGAGTGTCGGACTCGACGTTGCTTGGCGTAGATCGTATTTTGGGTTGTCTCAGTTTCCCACCAGCCCCCCTGAACGATTTCATGAATCACTTAGAGACTTGGGATGCCGCTTCGGATGGTTTGAAGACGCATGGGCTTGGCCCCAGCCCGAGCCTGTGGCTTGATGCCATTGCCAGCAGGTAAGGCCAGCAGCAAGCACAGATGAGTGGATGGGTATAGTGATTGGTTTGGTAGACTGTAGACTTATTAAGAACGCCACAAACACGAACAACAGCCGAAGAGTCCTGCACCTGTGGGATGTACTGGTCCCCACGCTTCCAGGTCTCGGTGTTCCTTTCTTGGTCCCATTGCTTCAGTTGTAGCCCTTTGTTACTAGTATAGCTTCTTGCTACTAGTAGCGATGCCAGGAGCCCCTAGTAGCTTCTTGTTCCTAGTAGCGATGCACCTGTTACTAATAGCGATGCCCTAGTTACTAGTAGCTTCTTGTTGATATCCGTAGCCCAGTGCACTTTCCAGCTCAGAGTCGCTCCCAGGCTTGGCCTGTCGTGCTCGCCGGGTCGAGGATGGCCACACCGCTGGATCGGCAGAAGATGGAGGAGCGGGTGCTGAGGGTGAAGTGAGCTTCCCGGCGACTGGAATGGATAGAGTGATGGCTCACTTTGGATCTGAAACCCCAAACAACAAATGTATGACCATGTATGACCCCAAAAATTTAGAGCCCACACATCATCCCAAGAGTAAAGGAATCTGTGGAAGCCTGGTATCCACACCCAAATGGTTGATCGAATCCAATACAGCACTAAAGATTTTACTAGCAACGCGCTGTTTCGGGAAATGCAGTAAGTAAGCGTAGATAATGATACGTTTGTTTTAATTTCTTCAGGGGTTCAAGGCGCATGGCAACTGAGCAGCAAAGGTGTCTCAGCAACCAGCGGATGTGTGGGGCAGAAGGGTCGCGACCAAAGATCACCTACTTGGGGCCCATAGGATCTCATATAGGTTTGTTCATGTGCAGGAACTTGGACAATTCCTCCATCGAACTTCCATGAGCATGAGCATCACCCTCCACTCCGAAATGGGTGTGTGCCCCCCCAAACGTCAGGCAATTGTGGTGATATACAATTGCATGGCTTGCGGGCAGGGTTTGTCGTGATTGAAAAGGTTTCTCAAAGCCGAGCCACCCAACCAACTTGCAACTCACCCTAGTTTCTTCCAACTTGCAGCATTGGGGCCAAGCGCACTTGCCTCGTCACATTGAGGTCTGGCGCGTGCCATTTTGCACTCCTTGGACGCAGAACCATCTGAATCTGTGGCTGTGACGGCGGCCGTGGTGGCCGCAGCAGTGGAGGACAAATTCGCGCTCCGGACGGCGCTGCGGATGCTCTTCGCGCAGGAGGAGGTGGCAAAGGTCGGCGACCGAAGGAAGTCCGGGAAGTCGAGGAAATCTGTGTGTTTGGTTCATATGTTGATGTTTGTTTTGTGGGCAGACATACTCATTCTATTCAGAACAAGGTACCTGTGAGACGTCTAGCTACAACCTTTGGAGGATAATTTGGATTGTAAAACGGTCAAGAGATGTTTTGGGAAGGCAAGCATTGACCTCTGAGAGTGCCCCAAGTTGTTCGGAGGATCATTTGGATTGTAAAACGGTCAAGAGAAGTTTTGGGAAGGCAAGCATTGACGTCTGAGTGCCCAAAGTTGTTCATTTCTTCCCGTAGCCGCGTGGCATGTTTTGACGGTAGGGTACTACTAGTCACACATTGCAAAGTGCGATTCTCAAAGGTCCTCCTCCCATTGCTCACTGCCTGCCGCGAAGAGCAGCTGCTTGGCGAGTTGCAGAAGCGCAGCCGCCGTGTCCGCAACGCTGCCGCCACGCGGATCGTCACCGCGCTGCTGCGCAGTGGCAATGGCAGGGATGGCTGGGTGGGCAGTGGAGTGCAGAAAAGTGAGAAAGTAGGTGGAACAACAGTCAATGAATACTTGGGAGCTAGTACCAGCAGCTTTGGTGAAAGGAATGTGACCTCCGTGATATATCCTTCAAGCTCAGCCAAAAAGACCTATCTGACACCGGCCAATCCATTGCCACTCTTTCCGTTAGCGGTTTCTTGATTCTGGCAGATTGAAACAGAAATCGAGTACTTTCAAACAGCTCCCAATCGAACCTGCGTGTCCAGGATGATCACTTTGGATCCCGGAGTCGCTGTGCCACAGCTCCAACCGTCTCTCAAGAAATCTTTGGTCATCCCCATGTCATCTCCAAATCCAAAGAACTGGAGGTGAAGGTTCGTCTATTTAGGGTGACAATTCGACAATTCTAAAATGTTTAACTCTTGTTTTGTGAGTTTGTGAGTGAGTTTTTGTTGGATTTCTTAGAATGAACAGCGACGACTCAAGCAGGGTGGGTCAGTTTACTCCACAATGATGGTGAAGGAGGCATTTCATTCCGACATGTGTTGACTAAGACTAAGTAGGATCCTTCAAACCAATGTTTGTTCCAATGCGTCTCTGGAACGGAAAGTTAGCCAGATCAGGTTCATTGAGATCCGCAACACTGGTGCAGCCAAGAAAGTGTCGGTGACCGAGTTGGTGAACGCCAGCTTACCGGACATCGTTTTAACGATGGAGGCTAGGTGTGTTTTGAGCTCTCAGTCATAGATGCTAGTATGTAGGTGTTCTGAGTAGATTCCAAGGTAGTCTGGCTTTACAGGCAGCAAAGTTTTATATTGGACATGCTTGAAGCGAAATTGATCAGATATTCAAAACACTTATTTGCAAGACATGACAGAAATTACACATCCCCAATGCCTAGTGGGTGGTGCTCTATTACGAAAGCCAGCCGATAGGCTAGGCTGAAGTTAGTGCTGCGAACGAAGTTCGTTGTTCGGGGGTGTGGGGGAGAGCCTGCTGGTGCTTACTTTTCCTCAGAGATAATGTTTAGTGGTTTTCTGATGCAAAAGGTGCAGGTCCATGATGCATTGCATCACTAGCATCATCGCTATCCGCGCGAGTAGTACACACGGCTAGTGCAAAGGCAGTCTATTGACATGTGAACATGGCTGAAAGAGTTACTGTGACTATGAACATATAGATCCCTTTATGGAACATGCACCATTGCTTTCAGCTTCAACACCTTGTTTTGAGATTTCAGCACAGCAGAAATATGGAGATGCCGCAGATAGTGAACCAATAGCAAAAGCCAAATGCCGACTGTAGTGGGGACAGCAGTCCAAGTAGAACCCAAAAGGAAAAGCAGGGCGTTGTACCCACCACAGCAGTGAAGGCTGTCCCACCAGGACGAGTTGCAGCAGCTTACTGAACATGGCTTCACGAACTATGCACATGTATCTCCTATACATACCTGGAACCCCAAACGATCACCGTTTTTGAGTGCCAATCAGCTTTGGGACGCCACATGGCATTGGTGTTCTGTTTTTGGGCATTTGGCTAAAACGAAAAAACAAGAACAAGGACTGCTGTCGCTATGTGGAAACCTTGCCGGAAACGAGCTGGAGACACCCAAACGCTTAAAGACACAACGCAACATTTATAAACACGACGCAAAGGACTAGAAACACAACACAAACGACTAGAAACACAACGCCGTTGTGTGAACCACCTGAAACAACAACCAAAAATACAACGCAAACAATCAACAAAAGGACGCAAACGCTCAACTTTATGGCGCAACGTTGGTGTGGTTATTCAATACACTTTGGAATCCCTGGAGTGCCCTTTGTGACACCGGCACATAGGTTTCGGATATTTTTGGCTTGTGTTTTTGATGGTAGCTCAAAAAGTCAAAAACGACTAGATTTTGGTAGGTGTTCCAGGATCCAGGTACAGCATGCCTCGTACCAGTCACTTGCGGAGACTAAGTAGTCCTATGATTCCCAAGACCACTGCTTTCAGCTTCAAGACCTTGTTTTGACAATTCAACATGGAAGAAACATTTGATCCGACTACCTTTGGGTCTCCCACCCGCATCATCTACTGGAGTGTCTCATCCACCTGGAGCGGTTCATACGTTCCACGACCTACCTGGGCCCTGCCCCGCTACTACCACAAAAATAGAAGTGACCAGGACAGCAGACGGACCACGAAAGTGAACAGCAATTTTTGCATCACGGAACGTTGCTGCATTGTGGTGTTGTGGCCGTTCATCGCCCCGGTAACAGATATTTTTGGGGCTATTACGCGTGGCTGCTGGCAAAGGACAGCGGCAAAAAGAAAGAAATATTTTTTTAACATGGTGGATTCCATGGATTGTCACTTAGTGTGAGTCAGGTGAGTTCCAAGGACTCGACAACATTGGTTCAATTTAGTTGCATTGTTGTTTTTTGCAAAGTCGATTGCCGATTTGGCAATAGAAGAGTTCGAGGGCGAGTCAGCAAGACACGTGTTTTGACAGTGCTGACTGGAGTGCCCAAATCTTGTCTTGGCATCAGTTTATTCACAATCATCATGAAACAACCTAACCTTGGGATGCAGGTGTCCAAGGTTTCTCAGCAAAGGTCATGGCCGTATGTTGCCCTGTTCATATTGGTTTCGTGATGTTTCGTGGACACTTCGTGACATTTCTCTTTGGCGTGCTGGCACAGGTCCTATACGCTCATGGAGTTTCAGCAGAGACCAAGCAACACTTTCGGCAATGGTGGGAGCGAGCAACGACCTTGGCTCGAGAGGGGAAGAAATACTTCGGTGAGTTGGCTTGGGCCATTGTGGGCCATCAGCAGAATCAAGGACCGGTCGATGCGAGGGTTCTGTTGCCAATCAACATTAATTTTGAAATTCGGTCGATGCGAGGATCAGCCTGATCAGCGCTGATCCGCACATCACTGGGCTCCAACAACTTGAAAGTTGGGTAATTCGTATTACGATTCCTACCCGCTAGGCCGCCAACGGCAATTCGCCTTGTGCCGCGACTGGGTGTTGCTGCTGCGCTGGGCGGCGCTGCTGGGTCCAGAGAAGCTGGAGGAGGTCCTTGAGATGGCAGCAGCCTGGGCTGCAGAAGGCGTTCATGCCCATGGGTTTAAGATGGTTCAACTATCATTGCTGTAGATATCATTGATATCATTATATAAGATATTAATCAAATTTAAATTGATGTTTTCTGTTGCGATGATGGGTTCCAATGTTTGGGGTTGTGGTTGGCCACAAGTCTTGGATCGAATCCCTGCATTGATGCCGAACACCCCTGCTCTTCCAGAACTGCTGTACGTGCAATGTCGCCTCCGATTCGGAAGTCCGACCGAGGCCAAGGTGGGGCGAGGCGCTTTGCTGGCAGAGATCCTGGAGGAGCATTTTGGTTGTCGAGATCTGGTCACGAAACTCGCTCTCGAGTCTTGTGGGGGGGTTATCAATCTGTCCCGATTTGGGGACCCATGCTCACATGATCTCACATGGGAGGCTCTCAGAACTCGTCGCAAAGCCAGACAGACTCGATCGCCAGGTGTTTTGATTTTGATCATGCTTTCGATGGAGAGTTTGTGTGAACTTTCTTAGATGGGGAAGATCAGAATATGTTGGGATTCACAGGCTTTCTACATCGAAAGAATATATACCTTCATTTTTCGGACAGTCTACAATCAAGAAGGTTGTCGGAGCCCGTTCGTCAACAACAGGATATGGCCTTTCCTGAAGACATCAAGACTCGCTTGCAAGAATTCTTGGAGCAACACAACCTGAGCTTTTCGCTGAAGCCGAAACTGTGCGGAGAACTTGGTCATCACAGGCCGGCTTTGGTGTGGTTGAGGAAGGCCGGTTCTTGGTTCTCCCACGATTGCATTTGTCACCTGAATTGTTCCTGCAGCCGCCCTGGAACGATAACGGAAACGACAACAAATCGACAAGCATCGACAAGCAATGTTTAGCAAACCTACCTTTGGGCTGTGGCCTTGCTCTCTTGGTCTTTTGTGTTTCTCCTCCCCTCCTGCTTATCGCTTCCTCGCCTCGACCTTTACACTGTGCGCAGCGCATCGATAAGCTATTCATCAAAACCATATGGAACACCAAGAACCAAGTAAGGGTAGAAAGGTGAGTGACACAGACGGTTTTGCTGAAAAGCTCCTTGGGTCAGGTGAAGATAGTACTGTGTCCTACAAAGATGTGACCCCTACAAAGCCAGAACACCGCATGTTCTACCTCTTCCATCCTCTTCCTTCATGGAGTTTCATATCATTCCTTTGTGCATTGTTTCGCGCTTCACTGTTTATCCGATCCAACGGTCTCGGCCCAAAGTGGATCCCACGCAGGTCTCGGCCATCGCCCGACCTGCCGCTGTACGAGGTGACGCAGGAGGTCCTTTGGGTGGACCGTGCGGAGGAGCTGCAGAGGATTCAACAGACCCTGGTGGCTTGCTGAAGAGCCACAGTGGGGTGAGCAACATGGACGGGCCTGGCAGTTTAGGAAGAGGAGGACATCCTTTGTCAGTTTCTTTGTTCGCGAACTTGGAAGGGTATATGGCATATGGATCCGGTGTCTCACCTTCCGTTGACGGTGGGCGCCGTGCCCGGAAATCGCTAATCGCTAGGGAAGTAGGCAGACCCAACATCTTAAGGATCAGCTCCGGCTGATGGAACAAGCCGGTTGTAACCATAAAGGTGTGTGATTTTGCCTTACTTTTTCGACTTGTTCCCCACCGGTCCATACTAAAACGGTGGCCATCCTCGACTTCTGATCTGACGTTCCTGCGTCTTGGCCAACTGTCCTGATCGGCGTCGGTGCTCAGGAGTCGCACGTCGCCGTCCAAGCTGCGAGTGCTCAGAGCGGGAGAGCCTTGCAGGTGGGTGTCGATTCAGAGTGGGGCTCACAGCCAGAAGCAGGGCCCTCGGTGTCTGGGCCATGATGGTTGGGGATCGATCTCGGAGATAGGCAACAGACATGAACAGACCATATATATCCTGATCATGTTGGGGCTTTCAATTAGAAATGGAATAAACCACATCGTCATTAGCTTCAGCTCAACACATGCACGGAACAGATGCAACATGCCAGAAAGGGTTGAGAATGAATACGATGAATAGATTATTTCTCAGGGGCTTGGTTCCGCCAGTTGTCTTTGTGTTCTCTGGATAGATCTACTAGATGGATCTAGATGGCCCAAATCCAAAGAGCTTCTTGGAACTTGACGAGAGGGACCTCGATGAAGGATATTTGACAACCCACGTTCCGTTTGTTTCGCACTCTGAGGTTGTTAAATTTGTGCCTCACATCCCCCAAAGTACCCTGCAAAACGACGCTTTCGATGCGAATAAGGCAACTAAAAAGCAGTTTGGCTCCTCCTTTGCTTTGCGATCCCGAGGTTGTTCAGCTGGCGATCTCAGGGACGATTTGGGTGATCGATGCCTTGGCAATTCCCAGCCAGCTGAGCAGCCTGTTGCTTTGGCTGAACTCTCAGCCGAAGGCGAGGAAAGCACGTGAAAGGATTTGTTTGGAGTTGATTAGGCTCCTATCCTTTGGCCGACATGCAAGCAGTCAAACCAAGATCAAAGAGGACCTTAAAAATTGAACAATCACGGTGACCCGGTTCGCCATTTGTATCATTTGTTGCGTCTGAAGCCATTTCGCACGTGGTCAGATCCAGCTTCTGGGCTTTCACTTCTCCTCAGACGCCGAGCGACTACAGCGTTTAGCAGCGGCGGATTGGACACAGGTGCCACGGGTGTTCATGGGTTTTCGACCTCGGACACGTTTTGTGTCATAAACGCTATAGAGATCTAATTGACATCTATAAGACATCATAAATCATCGTTTTCAATATCTGAACGATGTAAAACTACTGTAATCCGAAAGCACCTTGCAGTATCCAGGTTTCAGTCTGGCAAACAGCCAATTATGGGACACATTTCGGAAGCAGTGCTTCTGCCATTGCCAACATTTTCCTTGTGTCTCTTCAACCTGACCAATCGCAAAATGTGTCAACATGTAGATCATACCTCTCCATGATCTCTAGAACACAACAATACTTATCCATGCTGTGTTAAAGGTTCTGTGTCACTCCAAGGTCCTTGATTGTTACGTTCTATCTATCTATCTATTTGTATCTCTCTCTATATATAATATATGAATCAAAGCTGGTGCAGAGAGAGGATCCTAGGTTTGGTAAGCGTTCTTCAACCACTCTTTTGGGTAGCATTGTTGCAATCTTTTGGCGGGCCCACACAATCACATGATTTAATCAAGTTTTAAGTTTTAAAGGATCTTCAAATTGATAAGTCAAGTCTAGAACCCTGACATGATACTCGTGAAGCAAACAATCATACTAAAGGGTCCAGTTACATCACCAGTTACATGTTTGTTGGAACTCTATTGCCTATTCGTGTTTTTTCCTCGTGTCGCTGGACCTGCAGGTGCGAGATTTACAGCGGGAGGCGAGATGCCATGCCAGGGTCCTCTTTCAGAATGGCCACATGCCAGGCAGGAGAAGTTGACATCTTCTGGTCGTGGATCACCATGTCCAAGTTCTGAGTCTCTCAGTCATGCTGCAGTGCAAGACATATTTTGCAGTGGTTGAAAAGCCACGCAGAGCTTCAAAGACTGTCCTCCAAAAAATCGCCTGCAAGATTCTTGCAGGCCTTCGTCGACTTTGCGAGGTATATCTCGGAAAGTTGCTCGCAGCTCGGTCTAGCTCGGCCTTTGGCGATGGCTTGAAGAAGAGACCCCAGAGAATTCGCAGGTGAGGAGAATCAGCAAGTTCCTTTCACCTACCATTTTAGGTGTGAATCATGGGAACCACCCCTTCGTGGATCTTGCAAACGCGTTGTCCGCGGATCGTGTTGTTTTTCATGGTATCTCAATGTTTTGCAAGTAGGCCAAGCATTCCATCCATCCTTGTGGGTGGGTTTAGGGTGAGTGAGATCTTTGATTGGTTGACTGCATCGTTGTGTCTTACGGAGACCGCCCCAACAAGTACTTTTGGGACTTTGACCATCAACCCAAGTGATGTCAAGTGGGCGTCCACGAAAATATAGTGACGGCCACAAGATATTACTGACAGATACATAATCCCTGTTGCTATTTCCTCTAGAAAATGGGGGGGGGTCGTGGTCCCCTAGAACAAGGTCATTTTCTAGAAAACTGATGCGGGGGTACGACCTCCAAGGTTGTACCCCACCATTTTCTAGAGGAGAGGTACCTCACTAGAGAATGACCACAAATTTTCTAGGGTCATTTTCTAGAGCCTGGATAGGGGTTTTAGAGGAGCATTTTCTAGAGATCAACAAGTTGAAAAAAAAACAAGCACCAGTGAGTATAGCACTCATTCTGCTGATTGAAAGAGCAAGTCTAGTCTGTTGGGGGTACGACCTCTGAACCTGTACCCCACCATTTTCTAGTGAGCTTTCTCCCACTAGAAAATGAACAGAATGTTCATGGACATTTTCTAGAGGCAGCAGGTGTCAGGCCCCCTCATTTTCTAGATGATTCTCTAGAGAATGGGTGGAACGACCCCTCTGTGCTAATATCAAAGGGGATGATATATATATATATATATCATTCATTGTCATTCATTTTACGTTACAATATCATTACAGTAAGCAGGATCTAGATTGCTAAGCCCTTCCTCCAGGGACACGAGGGATTGCCCAAACCTCGAGTAAGGCTTGCTCCTTTGCCCAAGATTTTGGACTGGTTGCAGATTGCCCTCATTCAGTCCATGTGTGTGTGTACGAGTATCCATCCATGCTGGGCAGCGTCCGCCCAGGACAAGTCGTTGCAGTGCTCCAACTGGGACCAGCGACCACTGTCCGCGGAGCAGATTCGTCACTCCGATGGAATTTCGAAGTGGGGGAGCAGTAGTGGGGAGAAGTGGTGATGGGACCAAATCCAGGTTTGAGAATATAGACTGTCGCTTGAGTCATCTACGTGTCATCTCAAATGCGGATAGTCGAGCCGGCAGAAAAGTCGCATCCTAATTTCATTAGCTCAATTATTGATGCCTGTTGTGTCTCTTTCGCGGGTGTAAACCATTGGCGCAAAGCAATCCTGAAGGTTGCTGTTTTTTTGCAGCTGCTTTGCAGCTTGTCTTCCAGAATCAAAGTGTTTTCTCGACGAGTTGCCCATGTCATTGCCTTTCCAGCTTGCCGCTAGTGCATCAAAGGCGCTGACCATCCATGCCAAGGCTATGCAGGCTCAGACGCTGCAGTGCTGCTGGATATTGCAGAAGCCATGGATGCCGAGCAAGAGGAAACAAAAGAGCGAGCCCTGCAGCCTGTTCACTCTGATGTAGGAACTCACTAGCACTTAAATGCATTTGTCATACAAAATGTTATCACATCCACCCCAGTCTTCACTCTCGGGAGCGAATCCAACTGGAAGAGAGGGACCAGATTGTGATGATCCAAGGATTCGTGTTGCACGAAGAGTCCGTTTCCCTTGTCAAGCATACTCTCCTGTAGTTTGTAGGCCAGCACCTTTGTGTTGGTAGAGTCGGTAGAGGGAAATAGTCTTCCAAACCCTCCTGACGGGCCTTAGAGGGGCAAACTTTTGCTTTGGGGCAGCATTTTCAAGGCTTCTTCTGTAGCTGGGTGTCATGTCTTGCTGAAGAAGATCCTGACCGATTAGAGGTCTCCGAGCTGTGCAGGTGGCATTGATTCAATTAATTAAAGCGAGTGCAGGTTTTGGTGGTGTGGGTGGTTTGAGCGTTGCAAATCCAAAAATCTACAAGCCACATATTAAATAAATAGTGCGTGAGCTTTCCTTCCGGCTACTAGAAGCTAACTAGTTGCTCTTAATTAAGTAGGCGCCTACTTAATCAAGTAAGGAGGCAGGGTCATGTCTATTTGATTCTATATAGGTCGTTCCAAACGGCCGCTGCGCCAGATTGTGCTGGCGGATACCTCGCTTGAGCGCCTGAGCGAAGGTCACTTGTCCAACGCTGGATCTCCCCAAGGGTTTACCCCCAAGCAATCAAGGGGGACAGGTGGATGTTCTCAGTGTGCTCCAAGCCCAAAGGAGGGTTCTTCCGCAAAACCACCTTCTGAATTGAAGTGGCAAAATGTCTCACCACTTGCAGTGGTGTTGGTTTTTCGGAGTAGAGTTGGGGAAGTGGAGCATACGACACACCACCCACAGCCAAAACGTTTGCCGTTCTCGATACGTTTGCTGTTTGAAACATTGTGATGCATTTTTCATCCACACGGATCAGACTATCAGACCGTACTCGTGACATCCTCCGAGTTGGTTTCCGCAGGGTTTCGATCCAAAAAGCCTGCCTATAAAGGGTTTCAGCCAGTGGTTTCAGCCAAAAGGCTTTCTTTACAGACCTATTGAATCCTTGAGATTCAGGTGATTCAGGTGCGTCTCACAAGAGCGAATTTTGAGGGGTTGACACCCAAACTTTGATGTGTGTCGTAAAGCCATATTGGTGGTGAGTCTGTCACGCACATAATGACGTGATAGGCGGGTTTCTCCCAGTTCCTGTCTCTTTTAGTTGTCCTGGTCAACTGACTTGCCGCGACGTCTTTGTGTTTTCGAGGTCCTTGGAAAGGCGTGACTTGCATCCTACTTCCCGTGCCAGAGGCGCGGCGGGTTCGGGTTTGTTTTTTGAGCGAAGCAAAGTTAAATCATGACTGACAAATTCCATTTAATTATGCTAGCTGCTAGGTTCACCAAAGGTACAGGATGACATTCAGTGACGCCCGCAGCTGGTCCTCTCAGCCTGATCCTCAGCACCACGGCAAACATGTTAGACATGGAGACATCGAATGCCCAGATTTCTCATCGGATCGTGGAGTCTTTGTGTGACGTCTCCAGGGTCCCCCAAGTCACCTTTACTGTTACTGGCCCAGCCGTGGATTCCAGCTCTCCACTGCCGCCCCTAGTAGACGGAGATATAGCAAGATGTAAATCGAGATGTGGGCTGTTGCATGGATCGCATAGCAACTGATACACTTGTATTTGTTTGAGCTGGGAACTTTTCGGAACCACAACCTGTACATGGTTGGTGTTGGAGGACACAGCCAAATCTGAATGTATTTGCCTACCTGGGATCCTCACCAGAAACCACCACGGCGGGCCTAAAATGCGTGGCCTGCCTCATCTCCGCAGGCCCTCCACACAAACCCAGAGTTGGCGTCTCCGGCCAGAGCCCCAGGTTCCGAGGCTCACGGGAGATTTGGTTCGCACCAGTTTCACAGGATGAGCTGAAGACATCCAAATAACAGAGCTTTATCATGTTTTATCCTATGTGGAAGGGAGCCCCGCCAGAATACCACTGAATGCACATCGATGAGTTGCCAGCATCGGCTGCCAGCGGTGGACTTCTTGCGAAACGACATTGTCTTCCTTTCACCCATCCCCAGATCAGCAGATTTCAGCGGAAAAATCAACAGGCATTCAGTCCCAAACAAATTATATCTGATGAGTTAGTAGATCTTCAACGATCTTCAACGTGCTTTTCATCCCAAGTCACCCTGCCACCAGCACTACGAGTCTTCCCATGCCCTTGGCAATTGAAAGACAAGTCCTGTTTATCTCGAAGTTAGGCCAGTGAACTTCACTTCAAGGTTCCACATGTGAGGCGCTCTTCGACTTGGTCGTGGCGGCGGAGCCCATGGGCTATGTGGACCTCTCGGAGTGACTTGGAGTTGACGGCCATGCGATAGCGGAAAACCAAAGCCAACAGATGCAGTTGAAGTTCGGCAAATATGTTGTTGGTTAGGATGGAGTGCCAGCGGGGATGGATTTGTTTGTTAGAGTGGTTTAATTTAGCCATCGTGAGAGAGGTGGAGTTCATTGTTTTTGACGAGCGTAGGATAGAGCCTCATAGGATGCTATACAGGCAATTGGTAATTTTGTAATGAATGAATTATTCAGGTTCATTTCATTTCTATCACTACCTTTTGAACCACCAAAGAGGCTGAAGGGCTTGTTGGTTTGAGTGCCGAAGACTAACAGGCTAACAGGGTTTGATGTCATAGAATGAGAAGGCCAACAAGATTCGTCTTTGTAGATCACTTGAGATGCTGGCAATATAGACTCGTCTCCCTCAAAAACGAAGGTCAAGGCAAACTCAACGCAAACAGCGCCGTGTTTGAACCTCCCAGACGTCCGGTTTCACCGGTGCCCTGTGAACGTGCGGTTTCACTCGTGGTGCCTTGGGTCGTGAGGTATTCCTCTGCCTTGCGGCCCTTCATTCGGCGATGTGCCAAAGAGGACGAGCGGAAGCTGGATCAGGCGATCCGGGGTCATCGCGGTCTGGGAGTGTCCAATCTAGTATAGGTCAAGAATGAAATTTAGGAGCAGAGCGCGGTGTCTAAGTCTACGTTTGCTATAAACCCTACTGAATTTGCCGGTGGCTTGATATGGTTGTAGTTGCTTTGGCTTTTTTTCGAGGTCTTGTATATGTATACACAGTACCAAGTGAATGTAGACGATCCTTGGACACCTAGGTCGAATGAGGTCCAATGAGTGACAAGACGTCCAAGTCCTTCGCTCGCTTCACTTGCGCTTGGCCGAACGAACGGTTGTCCTTTTGGCCCTCTGGTGGTTAGGCCTTGCATTCAGCACATGAAGGGCCTATCCCCAAGAGGGTTCCTTTCAAGTCCTTTCAACCGAATTGCTTGTCGTTCTAGTGCAAAGTAGCCTGCATTGCAGTGTGGAATCGTGCATATCACTTCACTCGAAAAGAGCTGCTGGTGAACATGAGGTAACTGTAGCTGAGTCAAGGCTTTTTGCATGCAACCAGCCCCTATTTCCAAGATGGTGACATCGCCTCCCCTCCTGGGCTGCTGAAAGGTGCAGCTGCTTTGCGTGGAGCGGAGGGAACGCCTGGAGGTGCGCATGTTTTTTACGCCAAGGCGAAGCCATTGCTCCAAGAAACGTTAGGCCCATCCATCAAACCCTTTTTTTTGTCAGGTCAATGGGGAAGACCACAGACAACAGCAGGCAACGACCCAAAACGATCCTCCAGGTGTCATAGACCTCTTCATGTTCAGAGTGTACCTGGTGGGTGCAGGGATTTAACCCCCATAATCCCACATTAGGATATCATATTTGACCATGAGATACTGGGAGCATCCGCAACCCCCTCTTTGCTATCTCTATGCTATGTCAGACGATATTATGTCGTTATATATAGTTTGTTCTTTTCAGTGTATTGCCGAGCGCTTGGAACGCCCCGTGCCAGTCGGATCTCAATTACTGTGCTACTTGTAAAAAGGTTCCTGGCATAGCACTGGAACCCCACAGACACTTTCTAGATGGTTTGAGACTCAAACATCACGTCGTCTCAAGTGGTTGGGAATAGATCCCGGTGAAGCCTGCTCATTTGGCGTCTTGTAGGTGATGGATTTTAACAGACGAAGTATAACAGTACAACTCAACTGCATCGATTTATTAGCTAGTACACGTGAGTACGTGTTGTAATATTGGTTGTAAATGCTCAATTGACCATATACATATACATACATATACATGATTTGTAGTACAGTACATTTACATGTTGAACCAAAATTTGAGTTTCTGAGGGTAACTTTTGCTTTGCTCTTTTCTTTGTGAAGAAGCTTTTTGTTCGTTCCGCTCGTGTCAGGATGCCCGGGACGAGCTTTACAGTGCTGGGTACTACTTGGCAGATCACGATGAGGTCCACGGATGGTGTGACGGTTGTGAGGAGCACCGCTGTGGGTACCGTTGTGAACGACTTATACCAAAGGAAATACCTGGAAGTGGGAAGACTTGGGTAAGTTTTATGGTTTTGCAGGTGATAGGAGTTGGTCGATTTTGTCCACTGTACTACACTCCCATGTATGACAGGAATGGGGCGAAGTCTCCCGGTAAAGGAATTCCTTTAACACGCAGTTGCTCGTCTTGAAGGTGGAAAGAGCAAGGGGGACATGCCAGGAGCTTCTTGTTACTAGTAGAAAGAATGCTCCTAGTAGCGATGCCAGGAGCCCCTAGTAGCGTCCTTGCTCCTAGTAGTATGGCCAGGAGCACCTAGGAGCTTCTTGTTACTAGTAGAATTGTTTGACTGTCCGAGCCAACCTTGTTGCTGGCTTCATATTTGCTTCAGATGCCTTCAGCACAACAATACATGTCTCGCTGATTTATGCTCATTCAGCATTTTCTACAGTTGACCATTCTCGGGGTATATATGCGTGCAGGACCCTTGTTGTGATCCACACTAAGACTGACCAGAATCATCCAAAGTACCACGTTAGTAATTTATGGTGAGTGTGACATTGGCAATACATCCCACGGCTTAGTTACATCCAATTCTCTAAACCTGTTGAGATCACACT